CCTTTGAAATATCTTGGAAACTTATCCATTCTTTATCCATCTCCCCATCCTCCATCCATCTTCCATTCTCCATTCATCTTCCCTCATTTAAATATATTTTCTTCTTGTTAGTCTACTTGGGAGAATCTTTATATCTTATCTCATGCTACAAGCACGAGAAAATTAGTTTCTTTTACTCATTATTTCTTTATACAGATATTCTTTAAGATGTAACAAAACTGGATTATCTTTTTCTTCTTCATATAGATGAATATCTATTTATCCCTTTTGTCTAATATAATAATATACAGTGTCTTCGAAAGAGTCATCATCATTCCAGATAAAAATACACTAATCCTGCACGATATTTAATTCAAGCGATCGGTTAAGATACACTCGGTGTTATACGGTCGTTGGCCAGGAAATTGAAAATCTCGAATAGAAATCCCGATAATACGCAATTGAGGGGAGGAGTGGGGGGAGGGAGGAGAATAAAAGGAATGAAGGGGTTACTCTTCGAGCGCGTATGGGGTTAATATCGATCGGTGTGCGCGCGCCATCCCTCCCTCGGTTCATGCGTTTCCCCACCAGCCTTTTTCCCCTCTTTCTCTCATCCCGGTATTCCCGGTGGCACCACCCTCCGCCCTTAGTTCGAGTTCCTCCAGTACTGAGCGCCAACCGGCCGGGTTGTCACTCTGCCCGGGATGCCATGCCCGAGGTCGCCGCCGGTTCCTCCAGGAAATCGTTTCTGGAGCGGGCGCGGAGCTCTCTGCGGACAACGCACCAGGTGAACAAATTTCGTGGCCATTTCGTCCCGTTCACGAGATATTGTCCCGTCATTCTAATCGCGGCTTGCGCGATCGACAATTTTCCGGGGAGGCAAGATCTCTGTGCTCCTCTTGTACCTCTTATTTTTGAAATATCTGTTTATGATTTAGGTTACTTAATGAAGCATAAGAAATCTGTGCTACGTCACGCGAACTGTAAAAAGTCTGTGGAAGTTGTTAACATTCTCGCGCTTGTGATCAGATCGCCTCTTAGCTAATCTTTAGCAGAAAGACGTACGCTAATCCGTACCTGTGAAAAAAAAACGATCTTCGCCGTAAAAGAACCGTAGACTCGCGAAAAAAGAGACACTTTTTGATACAACTAGTTGATTAGCGGCGCGCCATCCCGCGTTACTCCAGTCTAGATTATATAGATTCGTACTACGCTAGAAAGTTGTGTAACGCAAGGAAAGAAAAGTACGACTGTATACACTTTTTTTTCGGCGATACTTGCGAGGTATCGTGAAATAAATCGGTAAATGTAGGTATATCTTTCTCGATGTCAGAAATGTCAGATCGCCGTGTCGAGTTCTGTTCTTTCCTTTTGTCGGGCATTTGTAGTCCCGACACGCAAATATTTTCCGTACGTCAAAACGATGTAAAAAAGATAAAAAAAGAAAAAGACGAAAAAGATAAAAGAGGTAGGGCCGAGGTGTAGCCTGTTGCAATATCGACGGTCAGATGCTACATTCGACAGACGTGTGCAGAGTGCCGACTTATCTCCGGCACATTGATCTTCCGTTCAAACAGCGTGAAATACAAACGTTATTCGCGTTTCCTTGTAAAAAAAAAGAGAAATAGTTAATATATATATATATATATATATATATATATATATCCTTGTAACATTTTTATAAGCGAGATATAATGAAAATTATTCTTTCATCTAAAATATATCGTCATGTAATGCACAATAATGCACAAGAGATATAATCACCAACATCATTTTACTTCTCTTCCATTTTTAATTTTATAATAAAATTGTTATCAAGAACGTTGCGAACTAGATCTTGCATGAATAAAATTTTTTTTTGTTATTACGACGATATTTGACATATAATACTTTTTTAATATTATATTTTTTCTTTTTTATTGTAAAAAAAGTGAACTTATTTTATTACTTTATCCACGCTGAATTGCGGAAATTATATTGAAAGAAAGTCTGCTCTTAAATTTCCAACGTAATCTCGTTGCAAAAATAAAGCACTAGTTGATGAAACCGCGTGATGAAACGCGGCTATATTCTTAGTTTAGTTTTACCTTAGCCAGTTTAGTTTTACCAAGTTCTTGGACGCCGACAATTCGCAAGAGAGAACTTGGCCAAATAACTCTCGTGTCGTCCGTTTTGATAGTCGTGCCTTATGACGTGCCAAATTAATTCGATACTGTTTCGAGATTTGTTAGTGCAACAGAGAAGATTGTTATATATATATTTTTTCTCATTTTTCTTTTAATATTAAGGGGGCATATCCGTTCAAAAAATGAGTACATTTTCTAGATTTTTTTGCAGCGCAACCATTTGATATAAATTTCTAATTTTTTTACGATATTAATACAATATTATTAACTTAAATAAAAATTTTCAGTTTAAAAAGACATTTTTTTTTAGAGTTATTGGAATATTTTTAAAAAGTTTTTATCAAATCGTTGCGCTGCAAAAAAATCTAGAAAATGTACTCATTTTTCGTAAGGTTCAAATGGATATGCCCCCTTAAAACAATTGATGGAAAAAAATTGTTTTTTCATTCAAAGCTGAAATTTGTATCGAGCATCGGCTTAATTTCTTACGGTAAAACAATTCTACAAATCAAAAAGTCTGTGGAAGTTGTTGCAATCCGTAGACTCAAGATGAAGAGTTTCAAATCTGTGAGATCCAAATTCTCCCTGCTAGGATCTTTAGAAATTAGAGGAATTAATGGAGAGAAATATTTGAAGTTGGTCGCTAAAATCGCAGGTTTTAAAATATCTCTCGAATGGTAATTTTATCTTTGAAAAAAGAAAGAGAAATTGTTAATATATATATATATAT